TAAGGACCTGCCATAGTTTGTTGTGATCCACACAATCAAAGGCTTTAGCATAGTCAATGAAGCAGAAGTAGATGTTTTTCTGGTACTCTCTTGCTTTCTCCATAATCCAGCGAATGTTGGCAATTTGATCTCTAGTTCCTCTACCTCTTCGAAACCCAGCTTGTACTTCTGGCAGTTCTCTATCCACGTACTGTTGAAGCCTAGCTTGTAGGATCTTGAGCATGACCTTGTTGCGTGTGATATGAGTGCAATTGTGCGATAGTTTGAACATTCCTTGGCATTGCCCTTCTTTGGGATTGGAATGTATACTGACCTTTTCCAATCCTGTGGCCACTGTTGCGTTTTCCAAATTTGCTGGCAAATTGAGTGCAGCACTTTAACAGCATCATCTTTTAAGACTCGCTTCGGCAGCACATATACTAAAATTGGACTTTGAATAGCTCAGCTGGAATACCATCACCTCCCCTTCCTAATAGATTTAGATAAAGAACTTTATTTTGATTAACAACTCTAGACTCCCTGTCTTATTTATCCAACAAGAAGGTCATAACTCTTGTTTAAGATTGCACTGTTTGTAAGAGAGAGCTTGTGCCTGAGTAGCAGTTACCAAACCCTACCCCTCACCTAGCTATTGGGACAATGGAAAGCAATAAAAACATTCTCAAGTACTCCAGTATAAAATGGTTCAAGCAGTGAGATGCCCTGTTGCATTACTAGCCAGCTGCAGGATGTTCTTTACCTTTAAAAACACACATATACACAAAAGCATATAAAGAGCAGTATGGTTTTGCTGGTGGAGCAACATTGTGGGCCACTCAAAGGACTCTGCATCTTCTGCATTAGCAAAAATAAATAAATAAAATTCTGTGCCAAGAAAAAATGAATTCTGCAGCCACTATTAATTATACAAATTAGCAATATAGCCAGTTCAGCTAATCATATAATCCAACAGATTGATCCCAGCAGCCCACAAATATCAGCTTGACTTACCAGCCGACTGCTGTTTGCAAACCTCAGCTACTCTCACCCCTCCTCCAAGTCCTCTGGCACAAGAATTCGTCTGTCATTTATACTGAAATACAGATGATCCCAGCTGGATCAGAGCAAGGCCCACCTAGACCTGCATCTTGTTTCCTCACAGAAAAGCCTGTAAATTGGGCATAGGCCCCCCTGCCTATTTCCATACATTAAAGACTCTATTAAAGGGAATGGACATTTCCCCCCAGGTTGCTGGCAACACAGCTACAAATGATCCCCTTGATAAGTGTAGAACCATGTCCGTATAGTGAAGAAAAGTGTGTGGCTCCATTCATTAAAAGCCAGCCAACTCCACAGCCCACTGGTTAGGAATATATTTGTATTCTAACCCACTTTTCTCCCTACTGGAGAGTTAAAGCGGTTTGCAAAGAAACAGAAAATTATATCTAGACAAACCAACCACAAATCTACAACACAACTCCAGCTTCTAAGAGGGTTGCCAGCAGCTCTGGAGAAAAATGATCTGTCCCCTTAACAGAGGTTTCATGTGGGAAAATGGGCAATTGAAGTTCTTTATGGCATGGATATTCAGTTCAGAGGGAAAGCAGATCAAAAGTCCCAGGTTCAATCCCTGGCTACAGTCCCAGGTTCAGTTCCTAGGAACCATCACATACACCTGAGATTAGGGTAGTGCTCTAGACAGGCAGGTTGGCTGGCACATGGATTAACAGCCCTATTGTCTGACTTCATGCCTTTCATTGTACCCATCCCCCGCATCCCATGCAGCCACACCTCCTCAGTGGTCACTTGGCCAATTGCCCGCATCTGCCAGTTTTTCCCAGCTGGCCCTGGTCCTTTCCGCATTTGCCTGCCACTCCAGATTTTCCCAGTGTTCGAGTTGAGGCAATTTAAGTCCATGGCAAAACAGCATCCAAATAACCTGGGGTGACAGCAGGCTGAAACCAGGCTGACCACTGAGGGGAAGAGAGAAGAAGAGAGACGAGATTGGATTTATACCCTGTCCTTCACTACCTGAAGGTGTCTCAGAGCGTCTTACAACCCCTTTCTCTTCCCCTCCCTGCAACACTCACCCTGTGAGGTAGGTAGGTAGGAGGTCATGTAATGCAGAATGGGGGGGAAAAACAGAATAAAAAGATGGTTGAACTCGATTTTAGTGCAGAATGGGGGGGAAACCCTGGATTAAAAAGAAGGTTGAATTTGATTTTAGTGCAGAATTGCTTGGAGGACACCGTGGTGAACATGGATTAAAAGGAGAGTGCAGAAAGGGCCCCTGTGACCAATTGCTTGCCCTCTCCATAAAGCAGCCAGACTCCAGAGATTATCCAAGTTCCAGTAACCTGAGGTGGGGTCAGGAGACCATTATGCTGCTGGGCCCTCCTCCTTGTCCCTGTAGCAAGATACAGGCCCTGAGCACTGGAGAGCTCTCTGCCTCCTCCCACTGTGCTCTCCGTCCACTGTGAAGATGTGTCAGGTGAGCGGTAAGAACAGAAAGAAACAGAGATCCCACACAATTTTTATTGAGGCATTTCAGTGGCAATGTGAATTTTGAAAGCATCAGAGAGGGGTGGATTCTCACTCAGTTCTTGTGCCTGAGAAAGCTGCATAAAAGCCAGAAGTGTAGTTTTCCCCATTGCTGCATCACCACACTGATGCATCTATCACACTGTCATCTGTTGTGCACAGGAGCCCTGTGAGGGCTACAGCTTGCTTCTTGATGGTCCCTGCTGCTGTAGGCTTTGATTGTGGCCTGCATGGCCTTTGAGAGCACAGCTGCCTCTGGGAGTGAGAGGTCTGCCTGGTTACCTGTGGAGAAATGAGAGATAATGATAGCAGTGAAAAATGAGTAGCAGCTTCAACAGATCGTTGAGGTTATGAGGGTCTTGTCTGGGTTCACAGTGCCGAATCCAGGGGCTCTCCGTGTCCCAGCCCCCCTCCCATTGGTAATCCCCCTGATATCTACAGTTGAAGCTTCACCACTTGGTGAACACAGTGTAGTCACTGCAACATTTACAGCTCCTCTAGTCATGGAGTGTTGCACTGGAATGCCATCTCCATTCTGCTGCATATGTCCAGGATCTGATCCTGCAAGCAGTAAGGGGGGCCATGAGTGGCATCTGCTTGGTGCTCTCTGACAAAGGGCAGCTGGGGTCTACCTTGCTTTCCCTAGTGCATGGTGAGAGCTTACCTGCATTTGGGGATCTGTGGTCTACACAGAGCTGCCTCTTTTCAGCACAGTGTGCACTTGTTTGCTGTCCTTTATGTGGAGAGCACAAGTCCCACCTATTGAATAAAGGAAGGTTTTTAAATCAGTGCACCACACCCATGGGGCCTGCATGCTCTGCACACCCATCATACTTCTTCTTGTGCAGGGGTCCTGCTTTGAAGTATGGATTCCCCCCTCCTGGATAGCTTACCTATGTGGGGTGCTTTGTCTTTGTAGCCTCAGCTGCAGCAATGGAGCTGAACTTCTGGGGGGGGGGCATTGGTGTCCGAAGACCTGTAAGAGTGCTGAGGACAACAAATCATATTTGTTTCCTCTTTTTTGTTTTCTTTTTCCTGGCTGTTGGATGGTTAGAACTGTCACAAGAGGAGGTGTTGGTGATGTGAAACTTTGTATAAACAGCAAAGACACAGAGTTCTATGACGGAGGCTCACATTATACATCTTGATATACGAGATCTGTGCACCCTTGGCTGAATCGTATGTCCCTCATTTTGGAATGCATTGACTGAGATCAGGATTCTATCATTCACTGCGATGGAGACTAGGGCAGAGCAGGTAAAAGTTGGGGGCCAGTCATCTGGGCTGTCCACTGATTTAAAGTGTGAGGGGTTAAAGTTATGCTGCTCTCTTTCCTGAAGGTGGAGCATTATGTCAATATCTCCTGATCATTCAATTCCATCCAAGGACAAAAGAAAACATGGCGGCAGTGGCACCTCTGGACATTTAAACACAGAAGCATAATTAGTTGTCAGACACCTTGAGTAGTGAGTACATTTCGCAGGGTGCTGAAATAGATCCAAAGTGCTGGAGAAAGTAGGTGGAGGCCAAGAGGGAGGGATAGGGTTTTTTCCCCTGCTTCCCCTGCTTCCCCATCAAACGGTCATTGGTGTTGCCATTAGGGCCACAGCCACAGTATAAGAGAAAAGGAGAATGAGGAAAGCAGAAAGGAGGAAGGAGTAGGCTTCTTTTCTGTCGCAGATATATAATCCAATCTAGAGTAGATTTGTACTGAAGCTGAGCATTAGTAGTTGTCAAAGCTCATACTCTAGCACAGGGAGTAACTGCCTTGGCAGAATCTCTACTTGTCTCCCAGCTGGGGATTCACAAAACAAGAAGGGGTCCTTGGCTGAAAGCAATGCACTGGCAGAGAGGGGCTGCAGAGAAATAACCCAAAGGAGCAGGGAGGGTTCATATGTACGCCTTTTGCATTTAAAACTACACCCCATTCCCCTTTTACTACATGAGTGGCACTTTCATTTTACCCTACATCTAGTTTGGCACTAACAGTCACTCATGCTGCCCCTATTCAAATATGCTCCCAACACTATCCATTTTCCCTCTTTGCATTAATGACAGGAATGGTACACCAGCATATTTTCTTTCCTACCACCGTAGTATTGTGCTGTGTTGGTGCAAAGGGATTTAGGAGCAATCCTGGCCTTGAAGACAGGGGCACACTGTAAAGCCTGCACACATTCAGTGGTGACTTGAGTTATCACTGCGACAACTACCACAGGCATTATCAGATCAAGAGATGTGAAAACAAGTTTTAACCAGATACTCACTAAATTGGTTCACCTAGCCTCCATTTCAGATGATATAACTTAATACCTGTTATGAAGGTGGGGAAACTGAGATCAGGGAAGTATTTCGCAAACATTATACAAAATATGAGAGACAGAATACAGGATCTGGGAAGCTTGATCAGCTCAAGTCCCACCATCCTCCTGAAACCAACAGTTCTCCATCAAAACTTGAAATAAATGCAGGTTACATACCTCCCTCCACTGCTTGCTCTCTATGCCCTGAGTATACAACACACATACTGTAAAAGAGAAAAATTAGAGGTAGTTTAGCCAGTGGCACAGCAAAGAAAGTTCAGCAGTGGTGTTGCATTGCACAGTTATGCACATTTGACCTATAGAGCAGAGCCTTCTGAAGGAATAGAACCAAGCAAGCTCATTGCAGACTTCCTTGTCAGTATACATGGGAGAGTGAGTCAGTGTTCCTGAAAACTGAAAACCCACCATCCATTCTTTCCTTTGCTCTTTTTCACCACTTTGATACTGTTTGCTATTCCACACCTACCTTTTTAGCAATGAAAGCTGTTTTGCCCCCAAAGTACCTACTGCCCCAAAAGACAAACACAAGGTACTGAGGAGCAGACATGATATGTGACGGAAACCAGAAACTGAATCCACTCAAAAGGCAGACAAGTCTTACACCAGTGCTTGGGGAGTGATCGGGTCCTTGGTCACTCAATGCATGGAGCCAGGTCTTGGATGGCAACTAATATTTAACAGAAGCCATACTGCAAATGAAGCAAAGGCTGAATGTCTAGCAACACTACCTCTGCCCACACTGACTCACACCCCACATAAAAAACTGCCACAGACCTTGCTGGAATGTACTTATTTATTGAAACCTTTATACCACGCCTGTTTCTGGAGATTCAAGGTGACTAACAAAACGGAAACACTGCAATCAGACAGGAATATTGTGACAGACAAGAGGCTGTCCTGCCCCTGAAGGGAAAGACAGCCACTCAGCTGAGCCTATGGGAGTGCTGCTCCACCATCCAATCACCTTTCAGAGTGGGGCTGGAATGTTGGAGGGAAACACAGTGAGAGTTCAGATCTGCCTCAGGGAGAGTGCAGTGATAGTTTTGGGTCAGCCTCAGCAAAAGAGGAGAGAATTAGAAGGGTAGCTTTGCCTGGTAGTGTGGCAGAATGGTTTAACTAAACCTATAGGGGAGAATACCCAATTGTTAGGCCTGTCACTGGTAATGAGCAGAATTGTACCATTTAGTCTGACTCTTGGGAAAGGGCATCGGATGGTATCCTGTGTGTGAGTGAGGATCCAGCCTGGTGTCTCGTTAGTAAAAGCCTTTTGTACCTGAACACATTAAGGAAATTCAAAGCACAGGCTGAAGCCATAACTAGCTTAAATATATGTGCCTCGGCCAAGTTTCTCCTTTGGCTACCTGGGGACCTGTGCTGCTGATCTGTTCTTTGAAACCAACCTGTAAATAAATAAATCATCATTGTTATTTAATCCAATTCCTGCCTCAGTGATCTTTATGTTCTACCTGCTCATCACACAGCTAACCTCACAGCAGCAAATCCAAAGCTTTTAGACTTGCTACCTTAGGAACACCTGGTAACTGAGGGGAAGGCTCATAGTTTAAAACAAACCTGATTCTCCAGAATCATAGGAGGCTCTGTGGTTATCCTCAGTTGGCAAAAAACGCCTGTCACAAATACCAATGGGGGTCCCCTAAATATGTAATCACTCCATCAGCCTTCACAAAAAGCTTGCTGAAACAGGAGAGATTTACAAGCTCTTCAAAAATGGGGACTGCCTTTCACATCTCTTCAGGTACATCATTCCATAATGTTGGCCCAATGACCAATAATGCCCAAGCCTGGGCTGAGGAGGAGTGGTCTAATCTGTGGGAATGTATTAAAGAGGAGGAAGATAAGTAAGCGACACTAAGGAGAATAATCAGAGATGCACTCCATTAATTATGAGGATCCCATGCCATGAAGAGCATTAAAGGTAAGAGCCATCATCTTAAAGGGGCCCAGAGGCAAACAGGTGACCAGAGGAGATGTGGAAGAACAGATGTTGTATGTTTCATATAGCTAGTCCTAGACAAAAGCTGGGTTGTGGAGTTTGTACCCACTGAAGCTTCCAAGCCCCATGTTACACCAATCAGCCTCTCACTTCAGGGTGCAGGCAAAGATTCATTTCAGCTCTTGCTACCCAACAAAGGTGCTTTCAAAGTTCTTCCTTTAACCATCTCATGTCCTCAAATCTGTTTGAGCCATCAAGGACTATGGAAGAGCCTATGTTGCTGCTCAAAGTTACATGAGGGTAAATTTCAGCAGAACATCAGAAGTTCTGATAGAATAATTAGAAAATGCAGCCAGTTCTCTGCCAGGGGGTGGGCAGCCACCTGACAGGCATGTTCGAGCTTTGGACTTGCTGCATGGACTAGAAGTGCTGGTGGACTAAATGACTCCCACAGTTTAAAATCATATGCATGCATCCTATTGCTCCTCTGAGCAAAAGTCCAAATTCCTCCTCCAGTTCACACAGCTTCCCTGGCAGCAGAAGTGGAAGAAGGGTCTTAGGCTGAAAGAAGGCTTCAAACTCTGCTGAGCAGAGGGGTAGGATACAGGTCTATAATTTTAAATGGTGAGAATGGCATAAAGAGACAGTGGCTATTATGCTTATCAAGTGTGTGTGTGAGGGGGATATCCTTGGGATATGATGCTATCCTGGAGCCATACAAGATGCCACTGCAGGCTGAACTGGACTTCCAATTGTTTATCTTTGTTGAGGCTAGCCCAACAGCAGGACCACTGGAGCCCACTGTCCCAAAGTTACCGGGTGTGCAGTCAAACCCTACACTAATTACCTCAGAAGTAAATCTTACTGCACTGAACAGGACTAGATGTGCACAAGATTGCAGCCTTAATCTGCTGATGAATCCATAAAGATGCCCACAATCTGCTCATTCAAATCCAGTCCAGGCAGCTTGGCTCCCTCTTTGGTAGGCAGGCTTCTCCCCCCTCCCCTCCCCTTTATTAATAGGCTCCAGTGGAACATGTGTGTGTGTGTGTGTGTGTGTGTGTTCAAAAGTGCTGTTATTATTCCAAGCATGAGCTGCTTCCATAGAGCCTGCCTCCATAGCCCACCTGAAACACCAATCCCGTTGTGCCCCACCAACTTTTCCTTTTCCTGACTGTTTTATAGAGGCTCAGCTGGAAGCAGACTTGACCTCCTACTACAGCAAACACAAAGTCAAAATGAACGCTGGTCTCTCGTGACTTAACAAAGCAACCACAGAAATCAAAACGAGATCTTAAGGCTGACTGCTTAAATTAGCCAATAAAGACACTTTCATTAGTGTATTTGGCTTCCTTTCAAAAGCACAGCAGAAATGCACAGAAGATTAATGAGGTGTTAATGAAGAGCTGCTGCCAAAACACTGGGCAATCCAGCAAACAGAAAATGCGGTTCCATTAATTTTTTTCTCAGGTTCTGCCATTTGTCCCCACCCCTTTGTCTACGATCTAAGGATATTTGATCCAAGCATATGATCTATTTCCCTAGGATCTCTACAGAAGGAGCATTCTTTACCACATAATCACAGACAGAAGAAAGTGGATCAAACCAAAAGATGAGGCTGAGACCAGTGTTCCCTCTAAGCTGAGTCGGTGTGAGCCGGCTCACAGTTTTTTAGCCTCCAGCTCACCCATTTTTGTCCTAGCTCAGGAAGGGATGGCTCCAGAGCCAACTAACTTATGCAGCAGCCAAATGGCTGGCTCACAATGTTAATGCCAGCAGCTCTTTGCTCACAAGACTCCACAGCTTAGAGGGAGTACTGGCTGAGGCTGAGACACACAAAAGCACACAACCCCCCCAATCACATTATATTTACTAGGTTCATTTGCACAGTCTTACACTGACCCAGGGATTTGTTTTATTAAGTATGGGAACATCAGTGCATGCATGGGGCTCCCTGTTGGAGCAGACTTCCTATTTGCTGCAAGGGAGAGGTGCAATCTGTATGAACATTCAGTTGTACAAGCAGATTGGGACCTTCTGTCTATAAGAATGAGGACCCAACACCCTTGCATACCCAATGATCCTTGTATGGATCTGACTATATTTATCAGTTCTGAATGGTAGCTGTATGAGTCTGCATGCATCTGATGAAGTGGGCTCTGACAAACAAATTTGTTAGTCTTTAAGGAGCCGCTAGACTCTTGTGGAAAGTGGCTATTCAGAATGGAGTGCTGCTGCAAAGAAAGCTCAAATGTTTTAATGTTTAGACAGCTTTCACAATTCAGTGCTCTTTGCTTTGGACCAATTGTTTCCATCCCAGAGTCATTAACACAGTGAACAATCCAGTCAAAGTTTGCATACATTTAATTCCCATTCATTTCAATAGAAATGTTAAGTATGTGCTGTGCTTTCTCAAGCTGAAAAGACTGAGAAGTGCTTACTTTGACTGGATAATTCCAAAGGTTGCAATCCTGTACATATTTGCACAGTCTGACTCCCAGGACCCTATAAATCTTAAACTAAAAGAAAAAGCTGGATTCTACACAGAAGTTAAATGTCTCTGAACAAGAAAAACCAGAACCAAAGCATATTATGAAAAACAGGGAAGCTAAACACAAAGTGTACTTACATGGGTCAGACTTGGAGAATGTGTCCTTATCCAAAAGGTTCCTGAAATAAAGAGGCAAAGAGGAAGGATTACAGAAAAGCCCCTGGATACATCAATTTGCATTACATACATATACATAGACCTTTATTGGCATAACAGATCAATTTGCAACATACAAGCCAATTTGGTCAAACATCCTGCATTTGTTTCTGCAGGTAATCTGAACTAATTCCTTTAAAAAAAACAAAACAAAAACAAAAACCCACAGGTCATTTTCAGGAACTCTTAAAACCTCCTCAAATTGTTTCAAAAGTGAAGCCAACCATTTCCTAAACTGACATTGCCTACGAATGTACTTTCTTTCCTCAGATTCACACACTTGTTCAGTACAGAGACAATGGTCCAGATTATCAAATGGAGTTTTGATGTTGCAGTCCATTATAGCACTGCAAACACTGGAATAGTTTTGTAAACAGAATCCAAACATATATCAAATTAAATTGCCTGTGTTGTAGCATGAATTACAAAAATTCCCAGGATTTGGCTTGAAAGTACATGATGATGTAACTGTGCAGAAACTAAGCAGATCTAGATCTGGTCATTGCCTGGAAGGCGGAGTGCCTGAGAATTCTCTGTATACTGCCTTGAGTTTATTTATTTATTTTATTAAATTTATACCCCGCCAAGGCAGGCTCAGGGTGGCTTACATTAAAAGGTAAAAACAGGTTAAAATTATAAAACATTTATAAGGAAGGTATCAGTGTAAATTAACAACAAGAGGAACATGCAAAACTGTCTTCTACTGAGTCAGACTATTGGTCTATCAAGGTCCATACTGTCTATTCTGACTATACTAGAGGAATAGCCATGTTAGACTAGGGCAGTGATGGCGAACCTTTTAGAGACCGAGTGCCCAAACTGCGACCCAAAACCCACTTATTTATCGCAAAGTGCCAACACGGCAATTTAACCTGAATACTGAGGTTTTACTTTAGAAAAAACAACTTATACATTAACTTAAGATGATCCAAACAAAGTAAGGAAAGCAATCCCAAATGCTTTCATTTACTTTAAATTATTTGGCAGAGAATTCGACACTTTAATGATGGTCTGGGCCTGGCTGGGGCGATGGCACGCATGCCCACAGAGAGGGCTCTGAGTGCCAGCTCTGGCACCCGTGCCACAGGTTCGCCACTACTGGACTAGGGGAAAAACCCAGAGAAATCCAGTAGCACATTAAAAACTCATCACATTTATGTTCAGCATAAGCTTCTGTGAGTCAGACCTCACTTTCTCAAATCCCTCATTCTAATGCAGAAAATTGCAGAGGTGGGGGAGGGAGAAACAAAGAATGGTCTAGTCTGACTGGCAGCAGCTCTCCACAGTCTCAGGTAGAGAACTTTCACACTACCTGCTACCTGATCTTTTTCGCCAGAGATGCCAAGCACTGAAGCTAGGACCTTCTGTATGCAAAGCAGACCCTGTACCACGGAGCCATGTTCCCTCCTCATCATTAGCAAAGTACTGTTTGCCCTCTTCCTTCAGAGTATTGGAAACAGGAGCACAGGAAGTTGTCTGTGGCTTCATGGAGACTTGGAAACCATGTATTCTTAATGTAGACTAGAAAAAAAATGGCCAAGCATCATGATCCATCAAATAGAGACTTAGCTATAGATTACCTTGCTCATTAAATATCAGTCACCTTCATCATTTGAGAGATGGTGAGGACCTGCAGGACTCTTACTAAGGAAACTAGGGAGAACTGGTAGCTGTGAAAAGTGTTTGTTTTTGTGTTGTGTTATTGATTCTGCACTTAAACTGCCTCCTTTTGATAACATTCTAGAATCCAAACAGTGCAGGCAAGAATGTCATGTTACATAAGAACATAAGAGATGTCAATGTTGGATCAGGCCAAAGGCCCATCCAGTCCAACACCCTGTGTCACACAGTGGCCAGAAATACCAGTGTCATCAGGAGGTCCACCAGTGGGGCCAGGACATTAGAAGCCCTCCCACTGTTGACCCCCCCAAGCACCAAAATGATAGAGCATCACTCGCCCCAGAGTCCCTATCTATACCTTGTGGCTAATAGCCACTGATGGACCTCTGCTCCATATGCTTATCTAATTCCCTTTTGAAGCCGTCCATGCTTGTAGCTGCCACCACTTCCTGTGGCAGTGAATTCCAAGTGTTAATCACTCTTTGGGTGAAGAAGTACTTCCTTTTATCCGTTCTAACCCGACCGCTCAGCAATTTCATGGAGTGCCCACGGGTTCTTGTATTGTGAGAAAGGGAGAAAAGTACCTCTTTCTCTACCTGCTCTTTCCCATGCATAATCTTATAAACCTCGATCATGTCACCCCTCAGTCGTCTTTTCTCCAAGCTAAAGAGCCCTAAGCGCTTTAACCTTTCCTCATAGGGAAAGTGTTCCAACCCTTTTATCATTCGAGTTGCCCTTTTCTGCACTTTTTCCAAAGCTATAATATCCTTTTTAAGGTGTGGTGCCCAGAACTGCACACAGTATTCCAAATGAGGTCTCACCATTGATTTATATAGGGGCATTATGATATTGGCTGATCTGTTTACAATACCCTTCCTAATAATCCCCAGCATAGCATTGGCCTTCTTTATTGCAGTCACACACTGTCTCGACATTTTCAGTGAGTTATCTACTACAACTCCAAGATCTCTCTCTTGATCTGTCTCTGCCAGTTCAGACCCCATCAATGTGTATTTATATTTAGGATTTTTGGCTCCAATGTGCATCACCTTGCACTTGGCCACATTGAACCCCATTTGCCATGTTGACGCCCACTTGCCCATCTTTGACAGATCCCTTTGGAGTGCCTCACAATCCTCACTGGTTTTCACCACCCTGAACAACTTCGTATCATCCGCAAATTTAGCCACTTCACTGCTTACTCCCAACTCCAAATCATTAATGAACAAGTTAAAAAGCAGTGGACCAAGTACTGATCCCTGTGGTACCCCACTGCTTACCCCCCTCCACTGGGAGAACTGCCCATTTATACTCACTCTCTGTTTTCTATTAATTAGCCAGTTTTTGATCCATAAAAGGACTTGTCCTTTTATCCCATGATTTTTGAGCTTGCTTAGGAGCCTTTGATGAGGAACTTTATCAAAAGCTTTCTGGAAGTCAAGGTAAACAATATCTATTGGATCCCCCTTGTCCACATGTTTGTTCACCCCCTCAAAGAACATTAACAGGTTAGTGAGACAAGATCTTCCCTTACAGAACCCATGCTGAGTCTGCCTCAATAGGTTTTGTTCATCTATGTGCCTACTAATTCTTTCCTTAATAATGGTTTCCACCAATTTACCCGGTACCGACGTCAGACTGACTGGCCTGTAATTTCCCGGATCTTTTCTTGAAACCTTTTTAAAGTTGGGAGTGACATTAGCTACCTTCCAGTCCTCAGGAATGGAGGCTGATTTTAAGGAAAGATTATTGTCAGGAGATCCACAAGTCCACATTTGAGTTCTTTCAGAACTCTCGGATGTATGCCATCTGGGCCTGGTGATTTATCAGTTTTTGAGTTGTGTATCAGTTTTAGGACCTCCTCTCTCGTCACCTCAATCTGTTATACCGACTTCACTTTCCCTCCCGAACTCAGCGGAAAAGAACCTCACACTGGAATAACTCCTGCCCTATGCAGACTGTGCTTTTCATGAGGACTGCTATAATCACCTGCATGTCTGCCCTGCAGCTGATGCTAAACTTGGCTGAGTGGCCCTGACTGTAGATCAAGACCACAAGATGGATTATACTGAACATTCATCCATGACCCCTTGTGTAGAATGACTGGTGTTTAAATGCACCCTTGTGAACTGAAAAAAGGGATGTGTATTCAACATAACTCTGACCTGGATAACCCATGCTAGCCTAATGTCATCAGATCTCAGTAGCTAAGTAGGGCTGGCCCTGGTTAGTATTTGGCTGGGAGACCACCAAGAAATACCAGGATTGCTGCACAGAGGCAAGCAGTGACGAAAACCACCTCTGAATATCTCTCGCCTTGAAAACCCTATGGGGTCACAATAAGTTGGCTGTGACTTGACAGCAAAAAAAAATAGAACATAACTAATCAAAATTAGATCGGAGAAAATCTACTTCTTAAGGCTTGGAAGGGTAATCTGAATTATGTGGTTTTTGATAGAAGTGTTTGGTAGAAAACTGAATAGGCCACATCTGACCATTATTGTTAGTTCATCAGTGCCTGGCTATAACTCCCCAGACACCGGAGCAGCTACAGGGCTGTGAGGGGAGCAAGTGACTCAGCAGACACATATCTGATAGGAACCTCATCAGGCTAGAATATTTAGCCCACATTCACGTCCAATGGGATCAGTAAAGTAGGGGTGCCTGTTTTTAAACATAAGGGCAGCCAGGTGAAAGCAAATCCTCCTCCCTATTACATGCTGAACACTTGTCAGTTTGAAGAATTTTTTTCTCCCAGTTTGTGATAATTTTATAGCACACTCCTGAACAGAGCTATACTATTTAAATCAATGGACTTAGAAAGGGGGTAATTCTTCTTAGGACTCCATTATTAATTACTGCTTGAACAGACACTCTGATCTGCCTGAAAACTGGGATGGAGGGTCCCTTTGGAAGAGGGGTACAGTCCACAAGAATGTCATCCTAATTGGCTGGTAGATTAAAAAAATACCTTACAGGTGAAAATGTATTTCCCATTGAAACCAAAGGGAACACTGGTGGTGGAAAGTGCCAACAAGTTGCAGCTTATGGTGACCTCGTAAGGTTGTCAAGGCAAGAGACGAATAGAGGTGGTTTGCCACGGCCTGCCAATGTGCAGCAACCCAGAACTTCCTTGGTGGTTTCCCATCCAAGTACTAACTAAGGCCTACTCTGCTTCACTTCCAAGATCTGATGAGACTGGCAGTCTGAGGCTATCGGATCAAGTCTAAAGGAACATTACCCGAATACAATGATTCCAAACAAGTGCAATAAGGATAGCGAAGAACCCAAACAAAATTATTAATAAACAAAATGAAAAAAGTTCGACCCAAATAAAATTTCC